ACCGGTGTTCGAGTTGATGTTGGCATTCGGGTTGACGTTCGTGTTTGGCGTGATGTTGGCATTCGGGTTGACGTTGATGTTGGCGTTCGGTTTGACGTTGATGGACGTTGATGTTGGCGTTCGGTTTGACGTTGACGTTGGCATTTGGGTTGACGTTGACGTTGGCATTTGGGTTGACGTTGATGTTGGCGTTCGGGTTGACATTGATGTTGGCGTTCGGGTTGACATTGACGTTAGCGTTCGGGTTGACGTTGACGTTGGCATTGGCGCCGCCGTTGCCGCCGTCAAAGAGGCCGTAGCCGTTGAGGCAGTTCTGGACGAGGCTGCTGATGGCACCACCAAGGTTGAGGCCGAGGACGCTGCCGCCAGAGCCACCATTCCCCCATCCCGTGGCGCGGAGGTTCTGGGTTGTGGTGGCGGCCGAGGTCGAATCGATGCTCTGGAGGGCGACGAGGGCACAGAGGACGGTGGGAGCAAAGGTCTTCATGACTGCTGGTGGTGGTGGTGGTGGTGCTCGAGAAGTGGCAAATAGGAAAATGAGAGTGTCTTTTGGCGGCGTCAAAAGACTTGGTGGAGTCGATCCTTATCCGAGATTTCGCATCTCTCGCTGGTGGACCGGACGTTTTAGGAGAACTTGAACATTTGGCGAACATCATGTGGACAGCTGTTGATGCTTCGTTAGATCACATGCCAACAATGCACGCTTCAGCGACTGGTATCATCAATACAGTGTGGCTCATGTACGACTCTCATGGAACGTGTTGTTGACGCCAGGGCGCTAACTAAACTGCAGGATCGAATGCAAGCAGGTTGGTCACATGGAGAAGCGCGGATCGGAACTGCAAAGTATGTCAATGTGTCTGTCTGGATGTGCACTGTGGGTATTGTACCAACACGTCAAGCGTATAGTATCTGCAGCAAGCTGCCCATTTACTGGTAGACACAGCTCGAATGATCGGCGGTGATTTGTCGAGATAATGCGAAGCCAGAATACGCCGCAACGTCGTTTCTGCGCTGCTCGGTAATAACGTCTCAGCTCTAGGGAATACCCATTGGCCTAGCTAGACAAATTGGTTTGAAGTAATAAGTGGTGCATGAATTGAAGCTCGTGAAATATGCTGTATTTTGCACATAATCCATGGAGAAAAGACAGTAGGCTTACGGGGCCAATGGCACTAGCGCTCTCGGCGTCTTGGCGATGAGACCGGTCTTCAGGTGCACGCCAACCGAAATGTCCTTGAACGTCGTGAGGAGGTCCGTGTCGGACACCGCAGTCGTGTACGTGCCCTGGAGGTGAGTAGCCAGCGTTCGGAGCGCGGTAAAGTTGCTATGGCCAAAACCGACGCACGAGCTCTGGAGTTGGTACTTGGCAAAGTCGCTCGCAATCCGCTGCGCCAAGGCAACCCCGTTCGCATTTTCATTCGGGTGGCCGTCCGAGAAGAAGAGCATGACCGGCGTGTAGAGCGCGTGGTCGTTCCGCGAGAGTACTTCGAGCGCACAGCGCAGGCCTTCGTCGTAGCTGGTCGTGTACCCCTGGAACGGAATCGGAATCGTCGTCGTCTGCGCCAGCGGCTTGCCTTCATAGACAATGGTGCCCTCGCAGCTGAACGTGATGACGGAGATGATGTCGGCGCAGTTGCGCGTGGCAGAAAGCTGCGCCACGTACGCACTGAAGGCCGCCGTGAGCGCGTCCCAGTCGGATCCTTCCATGGACCCGGACGCATCGAGCACGAAGACGTGGTGGTGGAGGCCGCTCGTCGCAAAGTGCTGGCAGTCAAACACGTGGCCTTGCACGAGCGACTGGCCGCTCAAGAGCGAGCTGACGTCGGTGACAGGGTCGTGCCACGCGCCCAAGGTGCAGTACGACGGCGATTGCTTCGCATCCTTGTGGCTCGGCGCTTCGCACTGGTATGGGCACAAACTAAACTGTCTGCGCTCGAGGGCGCTCATGACCGGGTCTTCCCATCCAGACATCTCCCAGTACGTCGCATGGAGCACTTCGTCCATGGGTTGGTTTGGCTCGCTCTCAAGCGTCGCGGCGCAGTGGCGGCGGCCGTCGCTTGCTGCATGCGTACAGGCGGCAGTGGACGCGTGGTCGCATGGGACGTAGTGCACGTGCCCACGACCCATCTTGGTGCAGAAGAACGAGCACATTTCGGCGGCACCACGGTCCCCTGCCGTGTACAGTCGCCCGTCGACGTTGACGCTCGTCAAGTCGGAAACGAACGTCGTTTCTTGCATGTTGCCGTGCGACGCCTTGTGCTTCCCGCTGTGGCCGTACTCCTTCTCGCAGTAGTAACCGCAGCACGGACAGCGCTCGGCACACGTATGCACGAGCGTGTCGCATCGATGGTCGCCCGCGTGGTCGAGGCGGCCGGCGTCGAAGCGGACGCTGCACTTTTTGCGCGACCCGTTCATCGCTTGGTGCGTGTACTTGAACTCGTTCAATTGGTTTTTGAACATCTTGGTCGTCTCTTCGAGCTGGACCTTGACCTCGCACATGCCTTTTTCCGTGCAGATAGCGCGGCACCAGTGGTCGTGTCCGCACGAGTGGAATGCGTTGGCGGCGTGAAAGTGATCGACCGAGGCACACATGTTGCCACACCCGGCGTAGGTGCAAGGTTGCTGGCACCGGCTCGTGCCGCACGAGTGCTTCTCGTGGGGGTCTGTGAACGAGAGCCGGCAGAGATGGGCGCAGCTCGGCGCCGAGCACTGGGACGGGCAAAAGTGCGGCTCGACGCTGCAGACATGAGCGCCCTCGTGCTCGACTGCGAGATGGCAGACCCCGTCGCAGTTGCGCGCCTCGGCGTGCTTGCAAACCAGTTGGCATGTATGGTTCTTCTGTTCGCAATTGCAGGCGCCGGGGTGGCCCGCCACCGCACCGCAAAGCAACGCAGCGTCACGATGGCAGTGGGCACAGAAGCCCTTGCAGCGATGGTCGCTGCCGCAGTCGTGCTTGTCCTTGTGCAAGAAGGACGCGGAGCACGTGAGCTTGCATTCGGCGCACGTGTGATCGCAGCGGCGGAGAAGCTGGCTCATCTTGTTGGCGCACGCATCCAGCTCGTCGATCACGTCGCGGTGGACTTCCTCGATCGACATAAGCCACGCGCGGACACGGTGAATCCGACGCCACACCATGTACTCCCAGAGCTTGTCAAACCGCGCTTCGTGCGCGACCCGGCGTGGTTCATCGATGTGGTCCATGTACTGCTGCAGGAGCGTCGACAGCGCTGTCTTGGCAGTCTCCAAGTTGACCGATGCGTCGATCTTGCCGTCAAAATCCACGTTGAGCACAATCGTGGCGTCACGGGGCACAGCTGCCGTCTCGAGCTCAGTCATGTTCACCGATTGCCGCTGGCTCATCATGGTAGCATCGTCGTCAGGTCCCAACGACGTCGTGCTGTTGTCTTCATCGAGCTGGCCGTATCGCAGAGCGTGGCGGACCTGTTGGCGGCCCCGTGCAACTTTCGCAGCCTGGACGTTCTCGTCCATGGACCGCCAGTCGCGCCGCGCCACCTTGGCGAGTACAATCGCAAGGACTTCGTGGCAGTCGGCGCCGTTTGTGTACGCCTTGTTGTCCCATGCCTCGGCCAAGCACGTGGCGGCGTCGGCCAGCCCATCGTAGTAACCCCGGTTGTTGATCGGCGCACAAGCCGTGATGAGGACAGCACCGCCGTACATGACCGTCACAAAGTTCTCGGCCGTGTTGTCTTGTAGGAGACGCTGGAGTTTGGATTGAAACTCGGCGATAACACCGTCCTCGTCGGCCGGGTTGACGTCCTTGGCGTTGAGGTACAGCTGGCCTCGGAAGAGGCGGTCATCGCCCTTGAGCATCGCGACGCCTTGCTGAAACTTGTCCAACATACAATCAATGTCCTTGTCAAAGCGCATCTCGATGCGGAAGACCGTGAGGTGCGAGATGGCTGCGTTGAGGATGGAGAGAAGCGTGTCCTCCTGTGCGCTGCGCTCCATGGACCCGAGGCCTTCAAAGTCCAAGACGACAACGAGGCCGGTGCTCGATCGACAGAGCGTGAGCCAGACACCGTTCGTGCAGCGTCCGCCCGCGCTTGCAAACGAGCTACCCGTGAGATGGTTCAGAAAGTACGACTTGCCCGTCGACTGCTTCCCCATGGACGTAACGACGACGACGGGGAGTGTCGACGCCTTGAGAATGTAGCTCACGGCCCCAAGGCTGATTTGCTGGGCCACATCGTGCACTTGGACACACTCGTCAAAGCACACGGCGTTGCCGTCGCGCAGAAGCACGAGCTTGTTGTCGCGCGCGAGACAAATCGGCACCGGCACAAACCCAATGAGCGCGAGGAGCCAGTGCCCGATGTCCATCGTCGGCCACTTGAGCGACGCTGCGTCGACGTCGAACACTGCGTCGTTGGCGAGCGAGAGCAACGAGAGGTTCTTTTGCAGCGCACCGAGCTTCTCCATGATGGCCTTGAGCAGGTTGACGACAATCTCGCGGCGCTCGGGCGTCGACGACTGCACGTGCACCTGTAGCGCCGTGGGCAAGAGACCAGTGTTGTTGCCGGTCTCGGCGAGCTTCGGGCGGACAGGGAATTTCTCAAAGACATGGTAGAGCGCCGAGAGCATGTGGGTGTCGCTGGCGGAAGCTGGCTCTGCTTTTGCTCGCAATTGAGCTGCCAATTGACCTTGCCCGTCACCACTGTGACCTGCAGCGTGACCATCGTGCCGGTCGTCGTGTCCAGCAGCACGACCTTGTCGCCGTACGCGCGCGCCTCGGTCGTACTCCAATTCAACGCCACTGGCAGCGCGATCTCGGCGTCGGGCAGCGGCTCGTGGCTCTGCGCCTCGAGCGTCTCGAGGCGAAGACCCTGGCCGTCGAGCGGCACAAGACGCACCATGAAGGCACCGTTGTGGAGCATGACGAGCTTCGTATCGGGTGTCGCCATGAAGCGTGGCACGCGCTTGGAGAGCTGCTGCGTGCGCAGAAAGTACGACTGCGCACTGTGGTTGCTGCCAACGCACAGGATGCCGTGGTTGGCGCCGCCAAAGAGCGACATTGACGCGTAGGGCTCACTTGGGCTCAAGCATTTCAAGTCGTAGTGGTGGACGGGCTCCAAGAGCTTAAACGACTCGCTGAAGGCGTACATGACCACTATCGACTCCGAGTGCTGGAGCGCGAGATGACGATGGGAAACGTCAAAGTCGCAGCGCTGCGCGAGTCGCGAAAACTCTTTCTTGACGAGCGCGGTGGCCGAGAGCGCCCCGTTCAATTGGTACGCGTGGACGTGCGTTTTGCCACCCGACGTAAAGACGACGATCGCGACACGTGTGACGAGAACGGCGTAAATCACATTGGCGTCGCGCGGCAGCTTGATCGCGGCAAGGGGCGCACTGCCGATCGGTGTGAGCTCGAGCAGCATCGCAGCCCCGGCAACGCGCTCCTCGGTGTAGTTGAGGCGGCTGCTGTTGCCAAAGTAGCCTGTGCTGGTTGCTTTGAGCGTCGTTACGAGGGCTGCCGGCCCTTTCTCCTCGTTTGTGGCCCCGAGCGCCTCGAGAAACGCGTTGTGCACGAGCTCTTCCTGCTTGGCGCGCAAGACGGCCCGCAGGTCTTTCTTGCTCGCGAGCGCATTGTAGCACTGGCGGGTGACGGGGTTCGTGACGAGTTCGCTCCAAAGATACGTGCTCACGCTGTTGCACCACTCGTCGTAGCGCGATTTAAGGTCGCCTCGAATGCGCGGCAGAATGACATCCATGAGGGCTTTGTCCTTTGCCTTGAGGTACGGGAACTTGAGGTGGCCCGTTTTGGACCATGAAAACAACGACGTCTTGGTCGTCTGCTTTGCAAGGTCTGGGTCGTGCTTGCACAGCTCGTCGTACCCAAGCTGGATGACAGTCGAGACGCTTGACGCCAACGACTCGGGCAGCGCAATCATGTCGTCAAGGATGTACTGCAGCGCCTCCCACTTGGTCTCCAAGATTTTTTGTGCTGCGACCTCGTCGGCTTCGGTCGTTGCCTCGTTCAAGTAAAAGAGGGTAGCTGCCGCGGCCGCGATGCAAGCCTCGATGTCTTCGAGCTGTGCGCGCGCTTTCTTCTTGGCCTCGGTGCGCAGGTCGGCCTCGAGGGCTTCGATCGTGAGGCACGACAGCTCCGCGGGCAGTGCCCCCATGTGTGCCAGCACCGCGTGCTTCCAGTCGTACGGAAGCTGCGCCTTGAGCTCAAATCGATTCTTGGATACGACACTCATCAGCCACTTGACAAACTCGGCCGACGACGAGACCTCGACCGACTTGGCGTCTTTGCGGACGTCCCGGTCCTCGGACGTGCGCATGGTCACGGCGGTGGCACCCGTTGCGCATGCCAGCTTCGCGTCCTTCGTCGTTGTCGCTACCGACACGAGGTCGCACGAGACTTTCTCGTCCTCGACCGTTGCCTTGTTGATGATAAACTTGACAGCGTGCTTCGTCCGCTTCGTCTCCTTGCGCGTCTCGGCATCCGCCGTCTCGAGTGCGGGCCAGTCGGCTTCCTCGAGACACCAGCGCACGGTTGGCGTCAGCGTTGTCATAAAGCGCAGGGCATATGTCGCCTGCTCGCGCAGGTGCTGCTGAGCGAACGACGAGTCGAGAAGCCACGTGAAGAGGACGAGCTTCGGTCGCTCGCTCTCCTCTGGCACCAAAATCGCATACACGCCTTCGTCGTCGGGCTGCAAGTACTTCTCGAGACTCGATGACCACCAATCTTGGGCGCGAAGATCAGCTGCAACCGCCGCTTGCTTGCCGAAACACCCAATGACATCGATACCCTTGGTGCTCGCCTTCTGGTTGCAGCACGCGTTGACGAAGAGTCCTAGCTGACGCTCTTGCGTCGTCGTGGCGGTCGCATCGACGACCTTCAGCGCGCGGAGAATGCGGAAGAGCTCGGATTCGATCAGCGTTGGTTGGAAGGTGACGGACCCGTCGTCGAGTCGGACTTCAGTCTTCAGGAGGTGGTAGCACTTGAGGCCCTCGTAGCTCGTAGCCACGCTCTCCTTTTTGTTGTTGCTCGCTTCTTGATGGGACATTGCCAAATGCGAGATGCGAGGCAGGGCCGTGTCTCGATGGACCTGCATTCCGCACTTGATCATTTTCACACCAGTTGTTTGACGCGCACGTGATGTGTCAAATCGATGATGAATTTTATCAAGTGGCTGTGCGCCGATTGTAAAACCTGTTGTTTACTGTTTAAAACACATAGCCAATGTTTTACACAGTCAGCAACAGTCGTACAGTATACGGGATATACGAAGTCTCAAGCTCCACTAGCCTCCCCATGCTATTCATCCGGAAGTTAAACACCATGTCAAGGTCAGCCCAGCATTGAAGCTCCTAGCGCTATAGGTGTGCACTTGGACGCGTTAGAGTTGACATCGAATCTAGATACTAGTACTCGAGACTACTAGCTCTCGAAACTGATTTTGTCGACGCGTCGGCCAAGGCCAAGGCGAGCGACGATGCTGACATCAGCTCTCACATCACACGGGTTAACTGGTGGTGCAAATGTCGTGCATGCGTCGTTTACACTCCGTCCTCGGAGGGTTAAGTCAAGTGCATCGAGATTTTGAGCATGAAGCAGGCGCCACGAAAGCGCTCGGGCACTTGCGGCAGCAGGCACTTGGTGTGTGGCGAAGCTGATCCTAGACGAGTACATCGTGATGGATTGTCGTCGGCTCCACGCGCTAGCGTCTAATATGTCATATTTCTGCACTGTCGCTTAATATCAGCCAAAAATAGACGCGTCAGGCGGCGACTTGAGAAGAACAACTGCCATGAAGTTTCCTTGGCTCGAGTTCGCCAAGCTGACGCGACCCCGGTCGCTCTCCGCGCCCACGGAGCCTCAATGCGACGAGGTCCGCGATGACGCGCTAGGCTCATGGCTGCGTCAACCAAAGAGCCGAGATACCACTGCCCAAGAGAACGAACTCGACGATGCGCAGGCCGAACTGCTCATTGAAGCCGCGAAGGCCGGCAACGTCGACGAAGTTCGACGACTGTGCGAGGTCGTGGGTGTTGACGCCGACATGCGCGGGTACATGGGCTGGACCGCTGCACACTGGGCGGCGCGCCAGGGCCATGTTCACGTCCTCGAAGTGCTGCACCGCCTCGGAGCCAACTTGGACTCGCTCGATTGCCGCGTACTACGCTGCTTTCCGATCATTTTAGCATAAATTGGTGCTGGACTAGGGCGATTGCCTCTTGCACAAGGCGGCGGCCAACGGTCAGCTGCAAACATGCAAATGGCTCCTCCAGCACGCATTCAACGTTCACGCGACCAACAAGCATGTGCGTGCAATATTCAAGAACTTGGTGGAAGTGATTTTTCTGCATTAGGGTATGACGCCGCTGGACTTGGCGCGCGAGAAAGTTCGCCATGACAAAGACCCTACAACTGTCGCTTGCGAAGCCCTTTTGGCCAACGCCGCCGAGTGCACGTTTTAACAATAGCGACACATACACCGTAGCACACAAACAACTCGGGTGTCGAAACCAAAGTCGAAAACACTGATATTGGTGTGGTAAACGTATTGTAATAACACTGGATTCGCCTTACACGAAGCTGCTCGCTTGCGTGAAAGATTAGGGATTTTAGGAATTGTTGATCATTAGAGTTGGGACCGGAGGAGCACAGAACTTCTAGCGCAGTCTCATTTGGCGCAAACAAGTGGACCGAACGTTTCTGGAGAACGTCAACACATGGCGAACGTCCTGTCGGCATTCGTCGACTGCCCCGTTTAGCAAAGCTGCATACAGCTTGAAATCAATTAGCCTAAACCAGGATGGCATTGACAGCAGCCCGGCACTGGCAACGAAGACGAATGAAACTACTGAACGGAATAAAGATCCAACGGTACTTTAGCCAGAACGCCCGGAAGCACATGTGCAGAACGAACAAAGAGAGGTGACAGACAAGACGGGTCCAAGTCATGAAATTACGAAGAGCAGGAATCTTGGCGCCTACAATCTTCAAATCTGTTTAACGACCCAATCTCGACGGTTCCCATGTACATGTACTACTACCATGTACTACTACCACACGATACACTTTAGGACCGTCTCTCATTCTCAATACTAGTATTTCATTTTCTCCGTGAAGCCCACCTCTTAAAGCTCCTTTAGCTACACCTCAATGCCTTCTTTCCACTCATTCGTACAACTCATGTAAGTACTATTATACGCTCGACGTGTTGGTACAATACCCACAGCGTACATCCAGACAGACAAGTTGACATACTTTGCAGGTCCGATCAGCGCTTCTCCACGTGACCAACCTGCTTGCATTCGATCCTGCGGTTTAATTAGCGCCCTGGCGTCAACAACACGTTCCATGAGAGTCGTACATGAGCCACACTGTATTGATACCAGTCGCTGAAGCCTGCATTGTTGGTATGTGATCTAACGAAGCATCAACAGCTGTCCACATGATGTTCGCCAAATGTTCAAGTTCTCCTGGAACGTCCGGTCCACCAGCGAGAGATCCGAAATCTCGGATAAGGATCAACTCCACCAAGTCTTTGACGCCGACAAAGACACTCCCATTTTCCTATTTGCCACTTCTCGAGCACCACCACCACCACCAACAGCAGTCATGAAGACCTTTGCTCCCACCGTCCTCTGTGCCCTCGTCGCCTTCCAGTGCATCGATTCGACCTCGGCCGCCACCACGAGCCAGAACCTCCGCGCCACAGGATGGGGCAATGGTGGCTCTGGCGGCAGCGTCCTCGGCCTCAACCTTGGCGGTGCCATCAGCAGCCTCGTCCAGAACTGCCTCAACGGCTACGGCCTCTTTGACGGCGGCAACGGCGGCGCCAATGCCAACGTCAATGTCAACCCGAACGCCAACATCAACGTCAACCCGAACGCCAACGTCAACCCGAACGCCAACATCAACGTCAACCCGAACGCCAACATCAACGTCAACCCGAACGCTAATATCAACGTCAACCCGAACGCCAACATCAACGTCAACCCGAATGCCAACATCAAGCCAAACACGAACGTCAACCCGAATGCCAACGTCAACTCGAACACCGGCGGCAACCCCGGCCCGATGCCCAACAGCGGCGGTGTGACGCCTGGTGGCAACCCGTCGACGGTCCCGACTGGCGCCCCGACGGCTGCGCCGGGCAGTGTGACCCCCGGTAGCGGTGGCCGCGGCTACTAGATTCGCGTCCGTCGACTTCGTAGCGTACATTCTTGTGTCATTGTCTTGATCATGAATATGTGTTTCTTCCACGATGATTGAGTTCGTCCTATTGGCAGTGCGTCAGAGGCCTTTACACCTGTGTAAGAGTCCATCTTTTGTTGATCTTGTAATCGTTGAGCCCTGCGTCGTCTTCAGACCGAGGGGTGAAGGCAAGGTGCTCAAGAAAAGTGAAAATGAAGAGTGACATGTGCTTCAAGAAGCAAGGGTCTGTTTAGAGTGACACTTGCCATAAGCCAAGCCTACTCGTGGAGAAGATGTCGTTAGCTTCAATTTCAACTACAGGCACCCGTTCCAGAGCTGCTAGCATTTACGACTTGGGAGAAGATGTCGTTGAGCTTTAACTTGAACTACAGGCCCCCGTTCCAGAGCTGCAAGCACTTGGTATGCAGAGGTGTAGTAACCGCAACAGAAACGTCGTGGCCAATTAGTTCATCACTGAAACGTCGCCAAAATTCTCGAACCAGGCTTTTATCCTCGGCACATTGTGGTGTTATGTCTTGAAATGAAGCATCGTTTCACGCTGTTCGTACGGCCCCAAAGCTAGCACCACATAGACGTTGGTTATTCTATAACGCGTCGTTCAATACTTGGTGTCTCACTTCTGTTGCAAAAATCCATGTTGTGAGTATAAAGGTTAAACTATTGCGATTGGAGCGACGGTTTCTCAAAGTGCTTGAAGCGCAGGTACGCATAGTCGTCGCCGGCGCGGTCCCGGACGCTGCGGTCGAGGCGCGGAACATGCGTCGCGAGCACCTCATCCAAGTAGCTTTTGTCGGTGGTTGTAAACGGAGCAAACGCCGTGAGCGGCCGCGCCGTCAGCGCCAGCTCGAGGGTCGGAAGAATACTCGCATAGATGGCACGCGTCTCGTCGTGGAGCCGGTCGTTCTTGCAGAGCACGGGCGCATACTCGGTCTCAAAGACGCGCGGGAGCCATTGCAAAATGCCCTTTTGCTTCTCTTCCAGCGCACGCTTGCCGATTTTGTGCGAGAATGCCGCGGCAAAGCCCGACGAGACTAAGATCTTGACCAAGCTGCCCCATCGGAACACGCGCTATAGACAACGCAGCATGACATACCATCTCAACACCATCAATAAGAAGCACCTTTGAGAAGGCAACTTGCTTGGCCCACTCGAGCTTCCAGGACGGCGGAGCGTCGTCACCGGCCGCGACGACGACGACATCCGAGGCACTCGTGCCCCATGTGCGCAACACGTAGAGCAGCCCGAGGCCGACGCCAGACGCGACGAGGCCAGCAGTGATGCCGTAGTGAACCTTCTCGGTCCAGAGGTACTCTTTCTGGCACGCTTCGATGAGTGTGACGTGCATCTACGATCGACATATTTCTTGAGGTCACATGGCGGCAGCGGACGTGGAGGTCTACCTTGAGCTGCGCACAGACGCCCTTGAAGATGGTGAGGAGGTTCTCGGTTGCGAGGTCGGGCGCGCGCTGGACTTCGCGGATGATTTCACCGCGCGTGCCATCAAATTCGGTCACAAGAAGCCTGCGAAGGATGTCCTCCTCGACGTTGCCCGTCGACATGTCTTCCATCGGGATGTGCGACGTGGGCACGTACATCGAGTAAATGAACGGCATGTCCTACATGCGTGTAAGACGCATACTACAATATTCTGGTACGTTGAACCTTGCGAGGGATGACCTTGCTGAGGTTCCAGCACAGCGCGCCGTACGCGCGCGCAAAGTCGTGGACGGACTTGAAGTCGTCGACCTTGTTGAGGATGAGGCGGACCTTCGAGTTGACGTGCTGGAGCGACGACGTGAGCACGTCCAGCGTCTCGAACGTCGTGCCGGGCTTGTCCGGGTCGAACATGAGCAGCACAATGTCGGCGCGCTCTACCCGATAGATAGATACACGATGCACTTTCTCGCAAAGGTAATGAAAGCATACCGGCAAACCAGCGCACGACGCGCTTAAAGTCGTAGCCGCGGTCCATGTCGGAGCGGTCCGCGGACGTGCCCGGCGGGTCGATCATGCCCGGCGAGTCGATGATCATCATGCCGGTTTCGTCGAGAAGATCGCAGTTCTCGAGCATCTTGAGCTCGACCTGCGACACAAAGTCGGCGCCGAAGAGCCCTCGGATGTCCTGAAAGCCAAACTTGTTGTTGCGCGAGAGCGCGTAGCCGTCGAGGCGCTCGGCGCGCTTCCCGCCCGCGATGACCGTGAACGTGCAGTCTGTCGGCGCGCGGCCCGTCTTTTGCACGTCCTGCCCAAGCATGTGGTTGATGAAGGTCGACTTGCCGGACGAGTGGTTCCCGAGCACGAGCACCATCGGCGTGTGCACGCGAGCAAACGACGCAAACTTGCTCGCTTGGCGTAGCCTACGAGCGATGGTGTGGCCGAGGTCGCTGGCAACCTAGCGCGTACCCTTCCATGCGGTCGAACATGGTCTCGACCTCCTTCTGCACCATGCGGTTGAGCTCGCCCGCGATCTTCATGTCCTCGCTCATCGCCGACGCCATGCTGCCGACTGAAGCCGTCGCCTTTCGAAATCGCGCGATGCCATTGGTCCACCGACCTCATAGAAACGTCAAGTCAAGTGACAGGCTGTATTTTTATGCAACGTTGAAGCTTCAACAACAACGACGCAGCCAAAGCAACGCCACCACCGCAACACCAGGTCGTCTCAACGAACGAAGCTGGCATTCGCTACGATGCAACCGTTCAACGGCTGGGGTCACGGCTGACTGAGGTTGCGTGGCGATCGAGTTGCCGTTTTTCGGTCCTTCCCATCAACCATCAGATTGTCCTCGGGTAACCCTCGGCTGACAAGTCGTCAAAAACAGCCAGAATACTTGATGAAAATCGACGACGAGCTTTCGAACGTGCGCACTGCACAATAATTCTAGTTCTCAATGATCACATGGGAAAAACTTGCGTTGAGAGGGAATCACGACTACCAGCCGCCACCGCAGTTGCCCCACTGGTCGCACAAAGTGGGGTTCCAGCCATCACCAGGACCCCAGCCACCATGACCCTAGCCGCCGACCCCAACCACCAGGACCCCAACCACCTGGACCCCAGCGGCCACGACCCCAGCCACCACGACCCCAGCCGCCGCCATGGTGCATACCACGGCCACCGCCACGGCTCCATTCGTCGCTCGGAGTGTTCTTGGCATCGCCGCTCGGGTTGGCCTCGACAGCTGGAGCTGGAGGATCGTTGTTTGTGGTCACGCCTTCGGTTGCCGCAGTGTCTTTCGGAGCAGCGCCAGCGGCCGCCGCAGCATAGCAAACAAGGGAATCTGCATCATAGTGTGATGTCGGAGGCAATTGAAATCTGACATCGTCGGCGACAAGGCTTCGGTGGGGTCCCATCCGCTCAACCGGTAAGAAACCATCAGTAAAAGCAAGGCCATAATTTGTTTCTATGATTTATGGACTTTGGAGAAAGGAAACATCGGTGCTATTCCTCCCAGCTGATGTGTTCTTATCACTCTCTAGCACTGTTCTGCGCGTCAGCCTTTTTCATTGTGCAACGACAACACTGCATCTCGCTCAGCGATACCTTCATATCGGCCTTGACGTCAACCCGTTCCTGATCGGTGGCGTCGTGTCGACAGCTCGTGCGTCTCGTACCTCGTGATGATCTTCCAAAAGGCCGCTGACGTTTCCATGACGACGAGAAGAGCTTGAAGCTCCGAGAAGATTGCTTCAACTTGAGAGCTAGCAATGTCTCGATCGCCGCATCGCCGCACGCTACATGCTGTGATTCCGACAATCTCGTGAGAGCCCTCGACACGCCATACGCTATGCTCCAACAGCTCGTAGAGGTTGGTCATAGGCGAGAAGAGGCGGCTCCATGGTAACGAGCCTATTGGATCTGCAACAGGTTCTTGGATCTGCAGGAGCGTCATCAGGAACATACAAGCCTCCCTTTTGGAACATCCCAAAGCTCTCATCTACGTCGACGCCGCCATTACCAAGCCTATCGAGATGTTGAAGTCCACTGCAGACTTGGTTGCATTCGTCAGTCAACCCCTCCTCTTGCCTCGTCTTGCTCCGTGTAGGAGGGGTACGCTGGTCGCCAAAGGGGGCGTAAGCGGTTTCGTGGAGGCGAGCCCTTGTATTTCTCCAGCAGTCGGCAGTTGTGAGCACACCTTGCGTTGGAGGTAGGACTGCATCTACGCCACACCTTTCATTGATTCTCGTCTCTTCTATGCCCGTCAACCCGTCCACAACCGCCTCTGCTACATCACATTAGAGCCGACTGGAAGCATATCAATGGGCGCGGCCTTGGTTTCTGCGCAGAGAGCGGCGCGCTTTCGCGTCTGGAGTGACCCACTTTTCCACACGGGGGCGGAGCCTTCTTGATGATACTACTCGCAAAATCCAGCGCCTAAACGCATGCGTCGCTATTGTCGCCGGTGAATCAAGCCACAAGAATTAACGGCCAACGTGCTCAAAACAAGCTGGCGGTACAGGCCGCAACGGCTGCTGTGAAACGAATTCACTCCCGTTCGACATCGTTTGCGAGGCAGCAGCACCATGCGCTGTGTCGTCGCCACCCGAAGCACGGAGGCGGTCGTCCCCCAGAAGTGGATTTCCCAGGATTTCCGTAGCCAATGAACGGCGCCACATGAGCCTGCCACGTCATCCCGGAAAAGCTCCGTGGCGTTGGCAAGATGCGTGCCACAGACGTGCGCGTCAGTCCGCGCCAGAAACCTGTCGAAAGATCGTATCTTCAACAGGGCCGATCTTGGTCCTGAATTTGCAGTTGGGTAAAATCAGGATCGAAGGGCCTGTCGCGGATGCGAGGGGCGTCCTTGGACGCAAGGTCCCACCGTCGCCAGTCGCCGCCTTGGTGGAACGCCGACCACTTCCAACTCCTTTTTGCTACTTTTACCGAGCTTCGTCGTCGACAACGCATGCCTGAACGGTCGTCGGTCGCCCATCCCGCTCCCTGGCGCATCGAATCTGGACGACCCACCGTCGGTCGTGCAGATTTGACCGAGCGGTCGTCCACACACCAACTTCACTTGGGTGCTCGCACGTTCGAGTGGCTGCGACAAACGGATTCTGATTGGTGCAATCCTGCTACTCAGCTGCAGTGACGCCGGGTCGGCACGCTATTTTCGCCAATCACATCTCGTTTCAGAGCATATTTTGGCCAATGCGCAAGCATGGTGCCCCTTGGGGATCGGCGCCGCCTGGAAGTAGGCCTTTTTCCGTACAATTCGGACTTTCGGATGGGTACGTTTCGGCATAGTCCGACTTTGCAGTATCCAGCCACACGCTGGGGCAAGGGCAATCTCACATTTGCTTCGCCTTTGCGCCGCCGCCGCCGCCGACGTCCTCAACATGCAGCGCCAGTTCCAGATTTTGCGCAAGATGAGCGTATTGACCAAGCAGACCATCAACCCGCGCATCGTCGAGGCTGAGTACGCCGTCCGCGGTGCCATCGTGCTCCGCTCGGACGCGTACAAGAAGCAGCTCGCGTCCGGCGACAAGTCGCTGCCCTTCGACAAGATCATCGCATGCAACATCGGCAACCCGCAGTCGCTTGGCCAGAAGCCGATCTCGTTCCACCGCGAAGTGCTCTCGCTCATCAACATGCCGGGCCTCGTCGACCACGAAGATGCGCCCAAGATCTTCAAGGCCGACGCGATCGCGCGTGCCAAGTACTACCTCTCCAAGATCCCGTCGGGCACGGGCGCGTACGGCCACTCCAAGGGCCACGAAGTCCTCCGTGAAGAGGTGTGCGCGTTCCTTGAGCGCCGCGACGGCCACGCCGCCGACCCGGAGACCATCTTCCTCACGGACGGTGCGTCGCAGGCGGTGCAGTCGATGCTCCTCGCGCTCATCCGCGACCAGAACGACGGCATCCTCGTCCCGATCCCGCAGTACCCGCTCTACTCGGCGACGATCGCCATCAACGGCGGCTCGCTCTGCGGCTACTACCTCGACGAAAAGTCGGGCTGGGGCATGGACATTGCCGAGCTCACGCGCTCGATCGAGGATGCGCGCAACGCCGGCAAGGACGTGCGTGCGCTCGTTGTCATCAACCCGGGCAACCCCACGGGCCAGTGCTTGAGCGAGAACAACATGCGCGACATTGTCCAGTTCTGCAAGGACGAGAAGCTCGTGCTCATGGCGGACGAGGTCTACCAGGAGAACGTGTACGCCGAAAACAAGCACTTTGTCTCGTTCAAGAAGGTGCTCAAGGACATGGGCTCGGACTACGACTGCGTCGAACTCGCTTCGTTCCACTCGACGTCCAAGGGCTTCACCGGCGAGTGCGGTCGCCGCGGCGGCTACATGGAGCTCGTCAACTTCAACGCCGACGCGATGGAGCAGCTCTACAAGCTCGTCTCGATCAACCTCTGCTCCAACATTGAGGGCCAGCTCATGGTCGCGCTCATGACCAACCCGCCGGTGGAGGGCGACGAGTCGTACGAACTCTACGTCGCTCAGCGTGACGGCATCCTCTCGTCGCTCAAGCGCCGCGCCGTCAAGCTCGTCGCCGCCTTCAACGAGCTCGAGGGTGTCTCGTGCAACGCCGCCGAAGGTGCCATGTACACCTTCCCGCGCATCACGGTGCCCGAGAAGGCCGTCGCGGAAGCCACCAAGCGCGGCGTCGCCCCCGATGCGTTCTACGCCATGGCGCTCCTCGACGCGACTGGCATCGTCGTCGTGCCCGGCTCCGGCTTTGGCCAGGAAGATGGCACGTTCCACTTCCGCTCGACGATCCTCCCGCCCGAGGAGGCCATCGACGAGGTCATTGAGAAGACGGCCAAGTTCCACGCCGAGTTCATGGACCTCTACCGGTAAATACATGTCGTCCTTCTGGCGGTCGCATCATATGAGCTCGCTTCGAGGAATGCTGCTAATGTAAACGCCCTTTGTTTTTTTCTATTGTCTTGGGGACCTTGACAACGTTCTGTTGCTTCGCGGCCACCCATACGTGGCGACACCGATCGGTGCATCCGTACGTGGCACGAGTCAGGCGGTGAGAGCCCGAAGGAAAGTTGCCGGATCGACTGCGGCTCCTCACTACAGCCTCGACGAAACGCGTGAAGCTGCACACCTGTTGCCGTTCTAGGCCAACATTGGTCGCAGGCAGGGCAGACGTAGCCGCAGCAGCACTACGGCCTACTAGTACGTGCGCATCGCGCATTGCGGCAGACGTCACAACTGGGCCCCTCGAGTCACTCGAGTCAGCAAGCGCCAAATATCGATCTCCTCCAAATGGCTCTGCCAGTCGTCTACACCTCCAATATACACTGTCGAGTCCCTCTAGAGTCTCTAGTCGTCGCGAAAAGCACTCCGAAATGTTTTGATTTCGTAGAAGTATTGTTGGGGGTCCACCACGGGGAGGGGATCTCTCCGTGCGCAGCTCACTCCCAACGACCAAGTGCTGGTGCCAACTCCCCACGCATTCAGGCGTAGCACTACGTATGTGAACTCTTTGTAAGGAAGATAACGCGGAACACGTCCCACGTGAATACTTGCATAGTATTGTTACACGGCGACAAGCATGATTAGCGTGGGTGTCTGGCGCGCCTGCTCAAGATCCATCCGGGGTATCCGGATAACCATCCGGCCGGCCGGCGATTGGCCATCGCGATGGCATCTTTCAAGAACTTGTTGGTGGGCGATGGCGCCGATCAACGTGGACGACGTCGGGCGCTTGCTCCAGTGGAAGCTCAAGAAGCAGCTGACCAAGCTCAGCGACGAGGCGCAGGTGCAGATCGCGCAGGACCTCCTCTCGTCGTCGTCGCAACTGGATGCGGTCGAAGCAGCGCTCAACATCCCGCGGCCGCGGCTCCTCCGCGCCGTGCTCGAGTGGGCCGTGCACATGGCGACCAAGGCCTCGAGCGACGACGCCTCGACGGCCGCGCGTGCGTTCGATGTGCTCGCAAGCGCGCTCACGCAGACGAGCGGGTACCAACTGCAGCTGCCATTGCAGTCGTGCACGCAGCTGCTGCAGGCCATGACCATTGTCGTCTCGGCCTCGGAGAGCGTGCTTCCGAGCGTGCTCTGCGTGTTTGTGCACCTCTTTGAAAACACGAGCGCCGCGTCGTTTGCGCCGCAGTTTGGCGTCTTCAAGCCGCCGACCGACGTCTACACGACCTTTCTGCACACGACGCTGCGGACGCTCGTGGCACGCCCGCCGTCCGAGACCGCTCGGGATCTCATGCTCGTGATCCTCCGCGTCTCGCACGTGCTGCAGAAGCACCAGAGCAACAAGAAGAAGGTCTTCCTCGCGAGCAAGCAGTCGCTGTCGTCGTTCATGGGGCTCCGCGCGTCGCTCATCGCGGGCGATGCAGACTACGCCGCGCCGATCGTGCACCTCCTCGACACGATGGTCGGAGACGCACTCTTTGACGTGGAGCACCTCTTTGGCTACGACAAGCTCCACACCGCGACGAGCGTCTGGCAGCTGTCGTCGAGTGACGCGCCGCCGGCCAAGAAGGCCAAGCTCGCGCCCAAGACCGCCAAGATCGCCATGGCGTACCAAGAACAGCTCTTCGCCGAGCTGCAGGCGCAGCTGCAACCGGACGCGGCCCACGCCTATGCGGCGGCAGACTTTGCAGCGATGCTCGTGGCCCAGTTCACGTCGCGCATCCGGTCGCAGACGGAGAAGCGCAAGGCGCCCGACGCCGTCACTCCCGCCTTTGCGTTCTGGCTCGAGCTTATCGCGGTCAGCATCCGTCTACCGACGACAAACGACGCGTACCCGATCCAGATGCGCGTGCTGCGCACGCTGTGGGCCGCCATGAACAGCAGCGAGATTTACAGAGTCGCCGAAGACAACGCTCGCCAGGACCAGCTGCAGTACCTCGAGCGGGTCGTATCGAGCATCATGGGCCTCGTGAAAGCGGACAACAGCGCGTGCATTCCGGACGAGACGACGCTCTTGTCGAGCATGGTCGAGTGCTCGCCCAAGATCCTCCAAGCACACTTGCCACAGGTGTTTGCGCTGCTCTCCAAGAAGGCGACAAGTGATGTGGACGCGAGCGCAGAGTGTCTGCGCCACCTGCTGCACTCGTACGACGCGGTGCGTCTGCTGCAGGACCTCCTCAGCGCCCTCTTTGCGACCACCAACGCAGCGCCGCTCACGCGCCTCTTCCGGCACGCGGCGCTCGATGCCATGCTGCGCACCGCGTGCAACAACGTCCCTGCCGGGCAGCTCGAGTCCATCTGGCTCTTCTTCCACGACGCCCTGCGCGCGGGCATGGACAACACCGCGACGCTCCAGCTCGTGCGCACGGTCTTTGGCACGTTTCTGCAAGAAGTCCAAGTGAGCCAGCACAACCGAGAGATGTTTGAGGCGCGCGCCAAGGATTCGTTCGAGGTCCTCGTGCGCCCGGCGTTGGAGCACGTCGACGACGCGGTGGCGCGCCAGCTGCTCAGCCTCGCCGGCGACCTCCTCGAGCTCACCGACAAGTCGCTCGACATGCAGTATGTGCTGGATGCGATTTTTGCCGCCGACGACATGGGCACGACGCTGCACCGGCTCGCCTCGACGGAGCAGAACGACGACGACCCGTCGCTCGCGCTGCATGGCCTTCTCAAGCTGGCGGCAACGCGCGTGCGGTTCCTTACGTCCGGCGGCGCTGGCGGTGACGAAGCGGCGTCGATGGCCGCGTTCGTGCTTGGCAATTGCGGCGCCGAGTGGGCATGCATCACGCCGTTCTTGACGGAGCTTGGGCACGCGGCCCCGGCAGACGTCTCGTCTGCGTTCATGGAGACCGTGTGCCGCCAGTCGATCGCGGCGCCGGCATCCTCCTCGCTCTTCCTCGACGCGGCGTTCTACGAGATTCGGCCGTTCCTGAACGTCGTGCCGACCGTGTTTGTGCAGCTGCTCGCGACGTCGGTCGGCGCGCTGGCGTCGTCGTCGAAAGCCTCGGCGCGCCTTGCGAAGCTCGCTCGGCGCATTGCAACGCCGGCGGAGCACCCGGCATTCCTCGAGGCGCTTGCCCGCGTCTCGTTGCCGGCGTCGGCCGTGGCGGCCACGGACCTCGAGGCGACACTCACGTTCCTGGCGGCCGTGCCGATCCCGTACATTCCCAGCCCCGCGACGACGCTGCTTCTGTGCACCATGCTGCGCCTGGAGCTGCTCTTGGCAGACACGACGACTGCGAGCACGGCCATCCACACGTGGCTCACGACCTACTTTGATGCGACGACCCACGCGCTCGAGGCCGCCAGCATCGAGGCGCTCGACCACTGGCTGCCATTGGTGCTCGGCCGCGCAACCCTCTCGGGTGGGACCGACCATATGCTCGGGGCGTTTGGCCGCTGCGTGGCCAAGGTGCACCCGACGCTTCTCCACCGCATGCTCAGCGTGGTGAGCGCGCGGGCCACGGCCGACGGTATGACGACGACGGTGCGTCAGCTCCTCTCGCGGGCGCTGCAGTGCTGCTCGATCGCCAAGAGCAAGCACGTCGAGGCGTTCTGGGCCGACGCGATCCACCCGCGGGTGGCGCGACTCGTCGCAACCGAGTCGCTGACCAGCGACGCGCTCGATCTCTTTGCTTCAATTTTGCACTTTCACGAGCTCAAGCACAAGACCGACAACGACGTCCACGCAAGCGTCGGTAAAGTCCTCGCGGCCGCGTGCCGCCACGTGACGAGTGGCGATGACGCAGCGGCCGTCGTCGCCAGCGAAGCCGTGCTGCGTACGATCGCGGTTCACTACAAGTCGCTCTCCAAGACCCTGCACTTTGCTCTGCCTGTGTTTGGCGCGCTTCTCGGCGCCTGTCTTGTCGCGTCGCCGTCGACGACCATCTCGACGGCAGTCGAGGCCTTGCTCGACCACTGCAACGACGCCGAGTTTGCCCTTGTCTGGTCGACGCTCCAGCACGAGCTCCTCCACGGTGACGAGACGCGCGTCACGGCGAGCCTTCGCGCGACGCTTCTCTTTCTCCAGACCGACAAGCTCCATGGCCACCGGCACTTGCTCAGTGCGTCGGCCAAGCACGTGCTTGCGTCGGTCGTCGACCTTGCGAATGCACAGTACGGAGCGAGCACGCACGTCCTCGCACTGCAGGTCGTGGCGCAGCTGCTCACAAAGCAGGATGCGTTCCATTGGCACGCGAGCGACGTGCAGCTCGGTCTCTTGGTGCTCCGGCCTCTGCTCTCGCTTGCCGCCGCCGAGGCGCTGCCGGCCATCGACGACGTCCACCAGATCTGGACGAGCGCGTATACGGTGCTCCTGCGGGTGCTGCGCCAGCACAGCGCGTCACTGCCCGTGTTTTTGCCGCACTATGTCCTCGGCTGCAATGCGCTCCTGCGACTCGTCTTGCGCGTCGGCAAGGACGCAAAGGTGACGAAGGAGCTCCTCGTGTGGGCGTCCAACCTCACGCGTCTCTATGGGTACATGATTCCCCACGGCGTCTCGTTCCGCAAGCACATGGTGTACATGCTCGCCGAGTATTTCAAGCAGACGGACGCGCTGCCGCACGACGTGACCGAGACGCTTCGGCCGGGTATCTACGCCCTCTTTGACATTTGCTCCAAGTACGAGAAGGACCAGCTCTTTGGGACGCTCGACGCGACTGGGAAGGTCCTCCTCAAGAGCATGGACACGCACTACAAGGAAACACACCAGTACACGGGCAAAGTCTAGGACAATCTACTATTTCGAACTTTTTTCTCGACTTACCGGCGGTCGACAAATTACGTCAAAATGCGGCTCGTAACGAGCGTGCGAGGACCCTCTGTGAGTGTACGTAACAGCCAGGGCTAGGTACGGGCCGCAGAGCACAAGCAGCCGACCACGTCGACATCGTCCAGCGTCACCGATGAAGTGATGCTCTTCCGACGAAGCATCTCAACCAGATCGCAGTGCGTACTACCAAATAAGGCAGCTCGTGATATAGGCAAGCGGCTACAGATACAGCATTCATGGCGACTCAATACACGTGGCACGTCGCCTCCGAGAAGCGTCCATGATGCGTCGCCCAGGCACTATGTATAATGCCTACCTATTCGACATCTCGGCCACGAGGCTGCCACGTCATTCGTGCCGATTCACCCAATGCCAACAGGGTATATCCGGACGCGTATCCGGCCATCGGTTTCGGGCCGCGACACTTGAGTGCAGCATGAGTGCCGACGAGTCGTACGCGTTCGTGGCCGAGTGGTTCGACCCGCAGGCCGAGATCGCTCGGCAGTACCTCCTCCAGTACTTTAGCGATGGCTCGCTCGAAATGGTTCGCCTCCATCGCACGCCGTGTTGACATCTACGTTCTTAGATCGACAAAAAGTCGCTCAAGCCGTTCTTGAAGCGCATCAAGTTCCCGAGCGTCAAGAAGGTCGACCTCTTTGTCGGCGCCTGCATCACAGTGTACGCAGTAGCTCTCAACGATCTCGTGTGACGCGTCGGCGTAGGTACTCGCGCCAAATCCACTTGCTCGATGCCGCCAACGAGTGCACGCGACGCCTCCTCGCGACGCGCGGCGGCAACCGGCTGCTTTTGATTAAACCGAGTGGCTATCGCCCGCTGGGGCAGATTCTCGCAGCGATCGAGCAGAGTCACGTCGCGATCGTCAACCTGCGCATGGTGCAATTGACGCCAAGCGACATGCCCCGCGTTCTCGAGATGCTCTCAACGGACAATAACCATGCCTCGTCCAAGCAAGCGTGCGAGATGCCATCTATGACGATGCGAGCTGACCTTGCCTAGAGCGCTCGCGGACGAGTACACGCGCGACTTTTCCGTGCCGGTCGAAGTCTCGCTGGGGTCGCCAACGGCCCTCGACGACGCCTTGCGACGCCTCGGTGAGCTCTTTTCTAAACTCGACACCCGAGTTAAGGAAGGCATATGTATATATCTCTAGACGCACTGCGGCTCCGAAGCCATGTCCAACTCTTCGAGAACCTCTCGGCAGCCACCTACTTCTTGGACACGACTCGGTTCCCAACAACCGCCGCCTTTACCTGCTGCACGCTGTGTCTTATCCGCCCGCGTGTCGTGCACGAAGGTAGTACTACTATCAACTTGATAGATTCCATGAAATGCCGACGTGCATATAGGCAAAGTCGGGGCCATTGTCGATGCAATCTTGCGCGAAGGCTACGAGGTCTCGGCGGCCAAGCTCGTTCATGTACAAGCCAACGCGATGAACGAGTTCCTCGCCATCTACAAGGACGTGACGCGGCAATACCACGTGCGTCTCGGCCTCGTTTCTGCCTGCTCATGGATGGAATATAGGAGCTCGTCAAGAGCATGGCGTCGGGTCCACTCGTGGCGCTTGAGATTCGCGGTGACGGCGACATTGTCTCGCGCTTCCAGGCGTTCTGCGGTCCGTTCGATGTGCAGATCGCGAAGGAGCTGGCGCCGACGTCGCTTCGAGCTCGCTTTGGCGCGACGACGCTGCACAACAGCGTGCATTGCACTGACGTCCCGGAGGACGGCGCGCTGGAAGTGCAGTTCTTCTTCCGACATTTGGTCTAATCCGATCTCGTCAATGTCGAACGAACGACGAGGGTCCTCGAGCCCGATGCCGCCAACTAGTGTGCACTTAGACGTGAATACTCAAGAGAGAAAAATCCATGCCGCGACGCCTCTTTCCTAGATCTCGAAGCGGCACTTTGGCGGCTCGGCCACCCGCGCTGGATGGGGATGGGCACCGGTACTGCTAGATGCAGCAGAACCCCAGAAGTGAGCCGCCACTGCGAGGAATCTCCAACATGACACGCAAAGGAATTGGTATCTCCATTCAGTGGTCTGTGTATTGAAGTGAGCTGCGTTGTCACGGAGCGTGCTTAGCCGCAGCCCGAGTCGGTCGCAGTGTACTCGATTTCGACCACCTTGCCTTCTTTCGTGCGGCGGAAGCGCGTCTCGATCGGGTCAAAGCCGGCCTCTGGCGCGTCGTACACGGCCCAGTGGGGCGTCGGCGCAATGTAGTCCATCGTCGAGAACGGCGTACCATCCGCGTAGTAGCGCTGGATGAGCTCGTGAAACTTGTCGTAGTCGATCCACGTGTGCCAGTGGCCGTCGATCTTGAACTGGGTCTTGGCCAGCAGCACGCAGTTCGAGTGCGCGTGCTCCGTCGCGAGGCCATAGGCGCCGCCGAGCTTGGAGCAGAGGAGCTCGCAGAACGCCCGGACTTCCTCGTGGTACGGCACGTGCTTGATCGTCAAGTCGGACGCGTCGCTCTTGCCGCAGTACGTCACGGCCTTGATCTCAATCAGGTCGGGCATGCCGATCTGGATGAGCTCGACGTAGTTGTCAATCTCCTTCATGTTGTGCTCCTTCACAAGCGTCATGCGGTAGACCTAACAGTCGCAATCATTTAAGTTGCCCTGCCCATGGCATGCATCGTGTTCGTACCGTGCGCTGGCCCTTGGCCTTGAGCTGGCGGAGGCAGCTCAAGAAACGCTCCCAGAAGTCCTTGAAGAGCGGGCGATCGATGGCCTTGAGCGAGTCCTTGGTCGCAGCGTCGACACTCACGTAGAGCTGCGTAATGGGCTCAAGCTCGGCAATCTTGTCCGGGAACTGTGCGTTCGTGACCAAGAAGGACGAGATCTGGCGCGCGTGCAGCTCCTTGCAAAACTCGTTGATGTGCGGGTACATGATGGGCTCGCCGACGAGGCTGAGCGCGCAGTGCTTGACCGTGAAGGCCTCCTCCCACCGGCTCTGGATAAGACCCGGAAGACCCTTGACCTCCTTGATCATGTTTTGGTGCCGCGAGATCGCGCCCTCGACAAGCTCGACCGGGTCGTCCGTCTTCCAGCGCCACTCGCGCCCAACCGGGTTCTTGTGGTGGCGCCAGCAAAAGACGCACTTGTTGGCGCACGCGAGCGACGGCGTCGTCTCCATGCATTGGTAGCTCGTGATGCCGTAGAAAGTGTGCTTGTAGCAGCCGCCGCGGCCGCGCAGCTGGTGCTTGGTCCAGCGGCAGAGCTTCACTGCGCTATGTGTGCCAATGATCTTGTACCCTTCCTTCGTCAGCGCCTTGCGCTGGAGCGGCGTGACCATCTCGCGGTTGAGCGCCGCGGCCTCCGACTCCTTCATGACGACACCGAGGTCCTCGACGTCGACGACGCCGTCGCCCTTGGGCTTGGGCGCGTCGTCCTCGTCGTCGTCTTCCTCGAGCACGATCTCGTTCATGCGATCTTCGTCCGTGATCATGACCTCTTCGTCATCTTCGCCGGCCGCGATGGCCTTCTCCTTGCGCTTCTGGCGGCGAAACTCCTTCTGAGAGAGGAATTCCTTGGCCTCTTGCTTGGGGGCGGCCAGCGATCCGTACTGCTCGCAGAGCGACGCCACGAGCATGTCGGACCACATCTCAAAGTGCGCCGACTGGTCCTGGTTGTCGTCGCCGTCGCCGCGCTTGATGAGGCGGTTGGCGCCAAGCGTCGCAAAGTGCTTGCTGAGCTGCTTGGCGGCCGTGCAGTAGTGCTCGTCGTACTCGGCGTTGCCGAGCCCGTACGTGGCCACGTGCACGTGCTTGAGCCACGTCTTGGAGACGCGGAAGTCCTGCGCCATGTCCGTGATCCAGTTGAAGAAGAGCTTGGCCGACTCGGGCGGCACGCCGTTCGTCCACGTCGAGAGGATCGAGATGACGACCTCCTCGTGCTCCAAGTTGTCCTGCGCTTGCCATGAGTCGTCTTGCAAGACGTGAGATGCAAAGGATACGTTTACCTGGTCGTAGTCCTTCATGTCGACGACGCTCGGCTCGAACGCATACCCGGCGACGTTGAGCGCAAACAGCTTCTTCTGCAGCGCATCGGCAAAGCCTACATGCGTACTGATGAGGATTGCGCAGAAGGCAGACGAGTATGGCGTACCTTTGGCCGTGCCCGTGTGCGTGCCATACAAGATGCGCACGGTCACCGGCTTGGGCTCGGCCGCGTCGGCAGTCGACGACGAGCACGCGCCCGAGCCGTTGCAGCAGCCGTTGGCTTTGGCCTTCGGGCTCGTCGGCGGGAGCGAGCGCGTAGCCGACTTGTCCTTGGAGAGAACGTACGCGATGGATGCAAGCACGAGCGCCAGGCCGGCGGCCATGGCCACTTGCGGCGCCTTGATCGACACCATGAGCGAGCGCAGGAGTCGAATTCGGCTGTGGCGTATCCTTGTTGTCCAGTCAAAACCGTGGACCGAACCAGACAGGAGCACGATTTTAACCAATCACATTGCTCCGTGGCGCCAATTCCGGCTAAGTGCGCTTCAGCCACTTCAACGAGAAGGACTTCAACGCGCGCTTTTTCGTTTTTTCATTGCGCTCGCCCACAGACGCAATGCCAAATACTTGGTCAGACGCAACGCTTTCAAGTAGCTACGACGAGTCATGACGCACGTATTCGCTGCCGGCATGCGAATGCATCGTTCTATTAGGACGACAGACTCATGATGGCGTAGTACGCGTAGCTACTTGGCACCTCGTCCTTCGATTCGGAAGCGCGCGACACGCAGCGTGCCATTGCTGCCAAGGTTCATATTCTCTCGAGCTTGCGTCAATCCCATGCGCACGCGCGACGCTTGCGCCAAGCGTCAACCCCGCGGAAACCGCTCGCCAAGGCGCCTCTTCCCGTTGCGGATCCGCATACGTCTCGAAAAAATCCACCGATCAAAGCGCTGCTACTGAACGGTCCCGACGGACAGTGCTTCGTCGCTTCTGCAGCCAGAAGCTCATGCGCTCTGGCCAAGAATGCGATATTGGGTCATGCGCATGACCGACGCACGCAACCTCTCAGATAGCATAGAATATTAGCTGTCCGGGTTCGACCTCTTGAAACATAATATGTTATCGAAAATGCAAGGTCCAGGCGTTTGTGGTGGCTGGACGACGCTTTCCATTTCGACTTCGCTTGCTTTCGACCATGTCTGCTACTGGCACCTCGTTGTGGCGCGCCGTGGGCATGTCCTACCTCCAATACGTCAACTTCAGCGCCAGCGTCGTCCGCGCGTCGCTCAAGGAACCCGTCAAGAGCTCCGTCGCCGCCCGCAACGCCGTCGACTTTGCCACGTGGAAGTGGACCGCCGGCGAGCGTGGTGCCCGCGTCGATGTCGACTCGATCAAGAAGGCCGCCGAAGCCTTCAAGTCGGCGTAAACGTCTCTCCTCCTCGTACAATGGACGTCTGCTAGAATATACAATTGTCTTCTAGCACCTGCCTTACACGTCTTTGGCCCTGGCGCAACGACCGGCGCGATCACCCTGCGCATGGACGCTACCAAGGATGTGTTGGCGATGCCATCGCGCCGGCCATGGCGCGCCGCCGATTGCAGGACTGCTTTCTATGACCATCGCATCGGTGCGGCGCGTAACGATGGCGCACGAGTAGCTCACCTGTCGTCGGATGACATGACTGTGCTAGCGAGCGTCGCACCATGAATGTTGAACGCAGGCAACATACATACAAACTAGCATCGCTGCAGCCCGGCGGGAGAGCTTGGCTGAAGCCGGATCGCGCCACCACAGATGTGTCGGGACGGAGCGAACGCCTGGAAGGGAGTTGTGGCTGGGCTGCGTACCGTAGTATTGGTACGCCATGGCTTGGCGGTGGCGACGGCGATTGCGCGACGGCAGTCAGATCTGAGTTGGGCAACGCGTCTGCGTGCGGGCTAGATAATTGTCGCCGCGTCCAAGTCCGAGCGAAGCACCCAAGATGTACTACCGGAGCCCTTTGCCTTGCACCCATGCCACGCGCCAAGCTCGGCGCGTCGGCCAGCCAAACGCATCCATCAATGTTACGCCGCTCTTCTTGACGCAGCAATAATAATCACACCGTGCATGGCTACCACCCGGTTCAAGCATTGCCCCCTCGCGATGCAACCTTGGCGCTCGTTACTGCAGTTGCGGCGCCGCCCCGCTACTTTCTCGCAGCTGCGGCATCGGCGTCCCTTCGCGCGGCCATCCGCCGCAAGCTTCCAGCGACGACGAGTGGCGTGCTGCATGGTCCTTGTCTCGTTGCAGGTAATACACTACAACGTGCAGGTCATCTCCAGCCTCATGGAGCCATGAGGGCAAATAAGCCTTGTAATCTCAGCGTTGTCGGCCGCCGGGGCACGATCGAAGTTCGAAGCGTTGACGAACGAGCACGCTTTGTATTGTTTTTTGTATGGACCTCCGATTACTCTATCCGGCGTCCCATCCCCATCACCGTTGGTATCGAGGGCACGCGCATGGACGTGGCCGACGGCGCGGACGAGACGAGGCTCTGGGTGTGCCAAGTACCTGGTACTTGTTCATGACCAGCAGAGACGGACCGAGGACGTCGTAGATACCATTGCATCAACATGATAAATAGGGTATATTGGTGGTAAATAGGGTACAAACAATACGACGACAGCGACGGGACGACTTAGAGCGGGACTTCCGACGCCTTCGCGGCGCGGGCCTCCATGAGGCGCTTCTTTTCGTTGTAGATCTTGAGGGTCTTGCTGCGCTTGCGGTCTTGGAGCGCTTGCTTGATTCCGTTGTAAAGCAAGACCGGGGGCGTAATGACGGCAGCGATGCTCACGCCGACCGCAAGCGCCGACGTGGCACCGACGACGACGAGCGACTTGGTCACCGCGCGGATCGGCGCGTTCGGGCCGAGAGATGCGCTTTGGGACTCGAGAAATGACCGCGGCGTGCAGAGGCTGTCGAGGTGGGTCGCCCACGGGACGCGGCAGCACCAGCAAAACTCAAACTCGCAGTGTGTGCAGGCCATGTGGTTGCAGCCGCCCTGCTTCTCAATGTCGACGTGGCAGTTGGGGCACGCGCGAACGTTCTCGGACGTCTTGCGCCACTTCTTGTACGTCTTGTCGGCGCAAGCGAACAAGTGGTAGTTCTCGCCGCAGTCCCCGCACGATGCCGTGTGGCAGTGGTCGCACTTGATCTTGCGGCCCGTGGAGGTCACGGGCTGCCCGCAGCCAGGCTGCGGGCACGTGCGGCCCGAGCGAAGCTTGGCCTTGAGCGAAATGTAGCGCTGGAAGAGCTCCGTCGAGACGTAGCCGTGAATGTGGTGCGTGGCAAGGACCGCGGTGCAGCCAGCGGCGGGGCACCGAATGCGGCGGACTTGACCGTCTTCAATCTTGATGCGAAGGTAGTTGCCGATGCAGTCGAGGCAAAAGACTGACGTGCACGCCGGCGAGTCGCATATCGACACCATGTCGGTCGACGTCTCGAAGCACACGGCGCACGCGGTGTCATGGAGCGGCGACACGGGCTTGACGTCGGCGACAGGTGTCGACGCCGATGGCTTAACAAGCACAATGTTGATGGCGGGGATCATGCCCGACAGCTTCTTGAGCATCTTATTGCTCGTCTCTTCACGATGAGGCGCTATGGTCATGGCGGTCGACATGGTCGATTGCAGTGAATTTGCAGAATGAACTCGACTGCCAGCATGGGTACGCCCCAGCCGAGATGTATTATTATTCTAAGCGATATAATGGGGCCGAAAATTTAAAACGTCCGAAAAATTGCAGCTTGCAATCACACTGGTTGAGTATGCACCATCTGTTTTTACGTAAAAATGACGCAATATTAGAATCTCCTATCGCCTTGGAGCGGCCACCCACCTGGTCCGCTATAAAAAAGGGACTTCGAACTTCGGGTCGGCTACGGTACAGTGCGTAGGGTGAGTTGCACTGCCTTTTTTACCAATGCCCGATGGATTTTATTCCAAGCGACCGTGCAATTTAATTAATTTTCGAGATGTGCAATACATCAATCGAATGTAGTTTCAAAAGATAGAATATTAATAAGTACCTGGACGACAAGAATAACACCAAACCAGCAATAGGTCGTTTGCACTTGGTGTTTGTATGTCGTTGCGTACTGTAGAGAGGTAGGCACGAGGGTTGAACCATTTTGGCCTGGTCCACTTGTTGGAATCTCGTGTTCGATCCGCTCGCGAGCGAGCGTGGGACGTCGCCGCCTTCTTGAAGACGAGATACTCGCGCCAGTGCAGAGAACAAAGCTGGCTGTCTGTGCGACCAGACTCGCGCGCTACGCCGAAACGATCGAGCAACGGATTGGGCGTTCAAGCGAGCGCGTCATACTCGATGTCGACGTTGCTTTGGCGCCCCTTCATCAATGTCCCTCAATGGTAAGCATCATACTGTACATGGTCCTAGACGACTTGGTGTGGCGACGCTGGGTGGCAGTGTCAAGTGCTCAGGATACTAGGACGCGAGGTGTGTTCGATGCAGGCTAGGATAGGACCTCGAACGATTGGCTACTGCAGTGCACAATTTGCGTGCGGGCCAGTGCAAGGAAGAAGGCGGCATGCGGCTTCATGCACCTGATCAAGCACGGGTACGACCGCGTCTGGCTACCACGGACAACGCGGAGTGTAGTATCCAATGATGGTCAGGATTGGTCGGTGCAGGTTCCTTGCGAAGGAAGGCGCAGCAGGGGCCGAGGCTTCTTTTTATTTCCACGACCGTGGCACGATGCCGTACGTTTATCTTGCTTTTAGTATGCATATTCGTAAAATTGAATTGCATTGCATTCGCACCCACGCGTGCACTGTACGCGGTAGGGAACATGCAGCGTGTGTGCGTCTTGGCTGCAAAAAGCCGAGGTGGCCAGCACCTTGACGTCTGATCTTTGCACCGAGCGCCTCGGTACATCTCGCTCTCTGCCTGCACTTGCTGCACGCCACCAACAACACGATATCTCGCCCGTCCAGCAACCACCCGCGGCGGCAATGATAGCAACAGTGGACGCCGACCACACATCGTAAAAGCACGACAACGCGACCGACGACTGCACGTTCCTGGGCGGGTCTTTGTCGAATCGTCGACCACATTCTTGACGCTTGGCACGTTTCTATAGCTTCAGGACCCGATGATTAGAGCCACAGGATATGCACAGTAGGATGATTTGGGTGTGCACGACCTGCAACTTCAACGACTCGATGGAGCACCGCAGCTGGCCAAGTCCCGCGACTGACGTGCTCGAGCGCCATCTGCTCTCGATTCCACCACCCCTAGGCCCCATAAAACAATTGACCTACCAGCATTCATTTCAGTTTTTCCATGCCAAAGGTCCTCGTTTTTGGTCACCCAGAGGGGGTGGACCTATGATTGCTACATTGTGGGGAAAGACACAGCACCTGGATAAAAGTGCAACTGGTACGGTTCGTCAGGGTCTAAACCTGCGTGATGCAGTTGGGGTCGACGATCCAACATGCAACAATCAGAACCGCCATCGCTGGAGCTGGTATGCCCCATTGTACATGCCCTAGCAGAGAGCCATTCACCTTGCCATTGACGAGAGACAATGGCAAGGAAAAGCGAGGTCTCGTGTTGCTGATGTCGATCGCTGCGACCTGGCAGACTGCATGGTTGTACAACAGCGTAGCGTCGTTTCTTCTCGTGTGCAACCACCTTGGCTGCACGGACAAGCTGGCTTACTCATGTGGCTTACTACTAATAGGACTTGCGCACGCCAGTTGCTCTGAGAACCTGCACCACAACTTTACCTCGTTGCTGGCACTCGCACGTACAGTACTAATAGCACTCGTCGTCGGAGGATTTCCTGAAGTTGAATCTGTGTCAGATGCGTCCTAATCGCGTGGCAGGTCTGCCGTGCAGCATTCCCAGAAATTTGAACCAAGATATCTATTCCTCGCGGGCTGACGACGGACTCAGATGCGATCCTGGTCGCACGCACGGCCTCTTCGTGTACTGGTGCTGTCCGTTATGCAGGCGCATGATCCAAGAACGTGTGCGTTCGTTTCCCGTCTCTGCGCCGAGCCGAGTGAGTTTGGTGCAAACTCGTGTCGCCCTTCATATATGGAGCTGCTCGAAGTTTCCGTCGGAGTTGGCTGCCATTACTACACTCGTCTAAAGCCGAAAAGCGAGCGTGTGGATCATGGAAATGGGAGGAAATTGCTTTGCAGCGCGCGAGAATCCCGTGCACGTCCCCTTGCGTCGCAGTAGCTTTGCAGAAACATCGAGAGGCGCGTTCGAGATGTGCATTACCACGCCCGGGATGCATGCGTTGTGGGAGGAATCCGCGACCTTTCGTTCATCTGGGTGTAGTTCACGATAGCATTTGGCATGTCGTAAGCCGCACGCGTTATCCAAGTTGTGCGCGTTCTGAAGTTTGGACCTGCACTAGTCAAGTACCGGGTACCGGTACGACTGGAGAAGCTGTCGTAGACGAGCCAACGCTGGACCATCGATCATCGTACAGTACACGCTTCTTTTCCTGGATGATCGATTCGCGCCTCAAAAGCCATCGCGAAATGCAGCGTCAAAGCCACAGAGCTCATTGCAAACAATGACGCGGATCCAAGCTCCGTCGCAACCTCGAGAACCGGCTCGCCGACGCATCATCGTTTGTGGGCTGTCTCATGCTTTCACGACGACAAGTACTATGGCGATGACTCGCGGAGGATGTGTGTGATTCGAACGCGCCCGTGTGCGTGCCCAGTACACACAAGGTCGCCGACATGTCGCGGCGCTTGGCGCGAAAGAAAGACGCTGGGTGCAATGGACCACGTTGAAGTACTGCACGCAGCGCAAGACAATCAACCAAGCAGCGCCTATCGGGCGACTGGTCTTGGATCGTCACGAACCCACATCCACCCAACGGACGTAGCTTGGATGGAGGTGCTGACGCACAACGTTACCACATCGTCAATGCACCCACGGTTGGACGCATCGGTTGTGTGTTTTGTTCGACATTGCTTTTGGGAATACATGGATGTACATGTACGCGTCGCTGGACAATGGTGAGGGGCGCAGGAGGTGACGTAGACTAGCTCCTGTGGACGAGTAGAAACATAAATGTAGCAGCAACCACCCGGAGAGCGATCTTTTGATTGATTGTCAAGCCAGACGATGATGTCTGATGGCTGCCGTGGATCGATGAGTGGCTATCGCATCGCAAGGATTACAGCAGCGACTTGTCGAAAGCACTGCGCTCGCTTTGGCGACGGTGCGCGGTGGAGGGCTTCTGTGATAGAGTCGAGTGCTGATCCAACGACTCGATGCCTTTCGCACTGCTAGGTAGTTTGTGGTCAAGTTCGATGTCTGTAGTTGGCATTGTCGGGCAAAAACCGTGACTCCTGCGCGATACTAGAGTCGCACGACAGCATCGAATCGTGGACTCGGACTTGGCTACGCAGTTGAGATGCTAACGACCTCGAAAGAAACCAAGTGGCTGGATGAGAAAATTGTCGTGTTGGACGCACCGCCTCGGTGCAAGACTTTTCAGAACAGCGAAGCCGGCTAAGCGCTCGGATGCCTACAATGTATTTGAAAACGCAGGTTGCCACATGTGCATTGAAGTAGAAGGCGACACTGCCATGACCTCCTTCGAGCACCCGCAAAGGCACGTTGGCTCGGCCGGTCCAGGGGTTGAAAACACTCCTGCGCGATGCACGACAGCATCAAATTGTGGTGTCCTTCAGTGCGAAAAATGGACTTGACTGCCTTGCATGCAGCTCGTCGCGGGATATGCGCGCTCGAGGCGCTCGTACAATGGAGGCACATGATCTGTGGTTTGGCTGGATTCACAAAGGTGGTGGTGCCAAGTGCACACAAAACATGCCGTGAGCTCCAACCCGTGCAACTTCTGCACGTGCTTCTTGGACCGGGACGATGTCCTCATGTACTAGTACTCCATAAACAACATGCGTACCGTGCGGTGCGTCGCTTCAGGCTCGGATCAAGCTCGAGCGCCGTGATCAGCGGGCGACCAACCTTTTTGTTTGTTGTGGCGGCTGCAAGATAGTGTAGTTGGCTTGGTGTAGTTGGCTCGGTACTTCGTGTGTTTGGGTGTCTGCATATTAGGAAAGCGGAAAGCACCAAGAGAATATCAAGTCTGTACACCTTGAACGAATGCGAGAACGTTGGGATGCTATCCTTTGAGATGGTAGCCCAATCATACATGTACCCACGTCTCTCATGAGAGTGCAGCTTGCGGTTGCGCATTGCAGCGACAAGGCAATTGATCGGCGCGACTCAGTCGGGCCGTCGGGCAAGACACAACACCAAACGCCCACAACGCGAGCATCAAGTGCAAATTCCGAGCTCTCTTGCCTTACGGGATTGTTTATCGAAGAAAACGAGCGCTTTCGCTGCGAAGGCACTGATCGTGGACCGTGCAAGCAGGCTGCGCGTCGTCCTTTCTGCGCGTTCGGTACTCTGGTTCGACACGCCCTCCCTCTCAGCTCTCCCTCTCTCCGACAGCACCTTCGTGCCCCAGGGTATCGTAATTCATCTTATATCTCTGCGCTAGCATCATTTTGAGCTCGCAGAATGAGTTGCAGCACTCTGTGTGGGAGGGATGCTGTACGACGATAAAGCATGATCGCACGACGCTTGGACGACGACAACAGGACGAAGTTGTGTGGAACAACTCGGAGTGCGATTCTTACCCCAGTCCTTACCGATAGAAAGACTGTTTCAAGACGACGGTTCTTCCTGTCGGCAGCGACCAGCTTGCGCGGGAGGACCTTGCCTTGCTGAGGCTTTGGTCGCGCCTCTCTGTGCAGGATGGGCGAGAGACGCTAGTTGATATCACCACTACCAGTCGCCTCCGATTGGCTGCGAACCGCTGCGCTCGGCGCTGATTGGCCATCACAATCCACACAGCTGGGGTGTTTAAAACGCCTGTTCATGAATCCAACATGTTTAACTGTTTGAAACACATTAAGCTTGATCATTGTCCTCCAATAGGATACACCCATGGGCTGTTTACAACAGGCTGTTGCAAATTGGCAGGACTCTTGCCAGTTGCTCGTTCATTCTTCGTCGTCGCAGTCAGTGCCGCCGATGACCCACCCCGTGGACGCGATCAAGGCCATCTTCGCCTTCCGGTGGAAGGGCCAAATGGTCGGGTACTGGGCGCTCTACCTCTCGCAAGGCGCGTTCCTCGGCTCGTTCGGCCCCGCGCTCCAAGAGATGTCGTCCAGTCGCGACTCGGTGGCCGACTACAACCCCGCCTTTGCGCTGCATGGCCTCGCCGCCATCGTCTCTGCGGGCTTCTTTGGCGACATCCTCATCCACAAGTGCCTCCTCTCGTCCTTTGGCCGCACGGGTCTGCACCTGGTCCTCGGCACGCTGGCGCTCCTCCTCGCCGCGTGGTACGTCTGCATGCCGTACGTCAACCGCTATGGCGGCCACCAATGGGTCTCCTTCTACATGATCCTCAAGGGCTTCCTTATCGCCATCTCGAACGTCGTCATCAACAAGTGCGCTGCTTGGACTGTCCCGGACAACAACACAGTGCTGAAGCGCCGCGTTGTCAACTCGCTCAACGGCGCTTTTGCCTGCGGCACGATCCTCGTACATGATGTCGTCTTTGATGCGACCTTGTGAATTCATCTTATGCATAGGGCCCGCTCATTGCGATTGTGGTGCGCATGACCAAGGCAGAGCTGCAGTACCTGTACGGCAGCCTCGGTGCGCTCTCGTTCGTTGCGGCCATCCTCATCTTTGCCACCGAGTGCCCGCACGAAGACGGCGAGGAGGCGGTGTCGCTCCTCGGCTACAGCGAAGACCTCCTCTCGGTGCCGCCGACACTTCCGAGTCCGATCAGCGGCGGCGTCTTCCTCCACGTCAGCGACGACCTCGGCGCTGCGCGCATCAACGCAGGTACATGGCTACACGAAGCGAAGGCGTCTCCTATCCTCCCTTGCACGGTGTAGACTCGTACGACCCCGAAAGCAACTTTATCGTGCTGCTCGCGATGGTCATTGTGACCTTGTACACGGGCATCCAGGTCGGCCTCGCGGCGTTCCTCTTCCAGTACCTCGAGGTCGTCGTGCCGCTCTCGCTCGGCTACCTCACGCACACGGTGTGCTGCTTCATCATGTTTCTCTTCTGGGGCGCGCTCGCGACCTCGTACGCGATCTTCACGCGGTATTTCTTCCTCGGTCTGCGCCCGATCCACATTTTCCTGCTCACGATCCTCTGCGTGTTGAGCATCACCATGATGACGTCGGGTCAGTACTACTTTGGCGCCGAGTACCGCGTGCACACGTTTACGATCGCGCTCGTCTGCTACGCCACCTTCATCTCGCCCCTCTTCACGGGCACGGTGCAGTCGCTCATTGACGTGGTGAGCGACGACCTCCTCGCGCGCGTGAGCTCGCTCCTCGTCTTTGGCTGCTTTTGCGGCGAGTCGTTTGTGCCTGTCCTCATGGGCTTCTTCATGGGCAACTACTCGGGCTCGGCGTTCGGCCCGGAAGCCATTGTCTACATTACGTTTGTCATGACGGTCATGATGATGTTCGTGTCCGGGCTCCTCTACTTCAAGGGCACGGAGCGTCTCGCAAAGAAGAAGGCCGCGGCCAATGCGCCGGATCCGTCCATGTCCTAAGTCCCAGGACGATGCCGTTGTAGCAGAGGCCAGTAAGTTGATCTATTAACACACACTTCTTGATGCTCTACCATGGAAGACACTCGTACTTTCGAGTCTACGGCGGACATGACGACTCGTCCATTCGAGAGACCGATTCTCAACGGACTGGAATCATGCGCATCATGGACTGGCCCAAAGCGAGACCATCAAGCTAGGGAGGGTTAGGGCACAGAGTCCACCGATGCACGCCTGTCTCCCTGGCGCAAAGCGATGCATGCGATCGTTTCCAAGCGCGGAGCTCGCGGTACATGCAGATAGGACGCTAGGGTATATCATACTGCACACTACTACTACCATATTTACTAGGTACTGGCGGTCACGGCGTCTGTGCCCGGTGGCAAGGCGGCATCGGCATCGGCGAGCAATCTACATGCGCATGAGCTTCCAGCGCGCACCTTATGCGCACCGGTTGAACTCGTCCGGAGCGATCGTCAGCATCGACGCATCGAGCACCAAGATGAACTCGATCGCACTCCGAAGGTTGACAAAGCAGTAGCCCGCCCTAGTAAAACAGCATACGACGTCGACCATTGTGCCAAGGACGTAGCGTACTTGGACATGAGATCGGCCGGGTGGCGGTATGCGGCAATGTACTCTGCGTTCGAGTAGAGACCTGGGATCTGCGAGTGGAGCACAATGTAAATAAAGACGGGCAAAAAGTCGTCGGCCCCTACGACGGGCTCAGAGAACTGCATGCCGTTGGCGTCGACGTACCCGGGCGGTTGAGTGAGTCGTCGCCGCGCGAGAGGTTGAGGACGCTAAAGATGATGCTGCAGCAGCGCACGATGCAGTGGATCTTGTCGCCAGGCGACCGCACGGCGTTCATGCGCCGGAGCTCGTCCGTCGCGATGGACCACACGACCTCGTTGCGCATACACGGCTTGATGTCGAGCATATCCGGCGTCACAAACTACATGGCACTCGTCAAGTTAATCCTGTGGCATGGACTACCGAGAGAGTCTGCATGCGCCGCCAGAGCACCGCGTCCTCTTGCCGCCACTCGAGGCTGCGCGGGAGCTGCGTCAGCGGAATGTCGGCGAGCTTGTCCATGACGTATTTCTCAATGCCGTCGCGCGCCGCCACGAGCGTCGGCTCGGGGGCGTGGCGCCACGCCGGGTGTTGCGCGAGGAGCTCGTTGATGCTGCGGAAGAAACCCTCGCAGCGCGCTTGAAAGTCGGCGTTGCCGCAGAACGGGTAGTCGACAAAATGGCTCGACGTTGGTGGCCTACGCAGCAGCTTTGATATCCATGTCGTCTCGCTGACACCAGCCGAGCGTACTGGCCGTCACCGCGCGGCCCTAGGATCGAGCCCAAGAAGCGGCGGATATGGTCCACGAGATCGCGGGACCCTGGAAGGCTCAGGCGCTCGAGAAACCCATTGTACGTGAGCTCTTCGACCGGCTCGTTCTGCGCCTCCTGCTTGGGCGATAAGCCATACGATTTAAGAGCGACACTGGAAATGGATACCGGCGTCGATGCCATCGCGTCGTCGTCGTCGTCAGTGAAGAGCGGATCCGAGTTGCGCCGCGGACTGCTGGTCTCGAGAAGACCAAAGTCGCTGACGCTGAGGCGGCCGCTCTTGCGCCGAAGAAACCCTGTGGTCGCGAGATGCGAGAGCGAAGAGGCTTCGTGTGTCGTCGCGCTGTCGTCGTTCGTGTTGTTGGACGAACTCGGTGCGTACAAGAGCTGGTCCAGCGCCGAGTTGAGCAGCGCGAGGTCGTGGCGGCCACTGCTACCGGGGTTTTGCTCCTGGAGCGCGGCCACGACGGGCGCCACGTCGAGGCCCTCGAAGCCCATCGAGTCCAAGTGCGCCTGGAGCATCTCGTGCGCTGTGCGCCCCATCTTCTTTTGCGCCGTGAGCAGCATGCACGACTCGCGGATCGCCGAGTACTGCTCGAGCGCTTGCGTCGCATTGGGCGCGCCCGTTGTCGCATAAATGGCGGCGATCGCTTCGTCTTGCTGCTCGACCGCGGTCAGCAAGAGCTCGTAGCGCTCGCGGAGCGCGGTGAGCTCCATGTCGCGGGCCTTGAGCGCCCCTTGGAGATCGTCGCGCTCCTTGCGCAGAAGGTAGACCTCCTTGGCCAGCGCTTCGTGGGCGTCGTCAACAGGCAGCTCGTCGTCTTGGTTGCTGCGGTGGCTGCCGTCGTCCTCGCAGACGACCTTGCAGCGCCGCATGCTTGCATCGTTACCGACAGCGTTCTCAGCCATCTTCACTTTACGGAATATCCGTTGGGTATCCGGGGCGACATCGATATTCGATATTCGAACCCGTAGCTTCAACTTGCCGCAGAAAAACAGGCGAGCAACCAAGGACTGGCGACTGCTGCGCAGCGCCAAGCAAGGGCAACCTGGACCAATGTAGGCGGGCGCAATCGACCCTCGTCGCTGGACTGCCATGGTCGGCCTCGACGCATACGAAGGCCAGCACTGCCTCCCGCCGTCGGAGCGCTTGGATACCTGCAAACGGAAGAGTAGGTTCTATTGCATACACCACAACTCTCTACGGACGCGACGCCGGCGGCTCCGACCCGATGGCAAACGTGTTGGGGAGGAAGACTGCTGCGCCAGCGGCGCCGCCCTTCCAGCCAAGCATCGGCGCGTCCACGAGCATGCCTTCCGACTTGCGCCCGCCAACGGTCGCCTTCTTGACTTCGACCTCTTCGCCGTCGATGGTCACGGTCGAGCCGATCGTGGCCACGACAATATGGCGCTCCTCGCCCGCGTCCACACGCGCGTTCGTGACGATCGTCAGCTCGGTCGCGTCGTCGACCTGCACCTTGACCGCGCGGAGCTTCGTCTTGGGGATGGCTTCGACACCGACGACGCGCGCGACCTTGTAGCCAGCGTACGGCGAGGCCGTGGGGCGCGGGTTCTCGCAGGCGACGCACTCGGCGTCGTCGCCCGTGTTCTCTTGCTCGCACTCGTCGCAGACCCAGTCGCTTGGCATGGTGCTGGTGGTGTGGTTTTGGCTTTTGCCACGACCTTGGGCTGCATTTTTCACCCTATTTCTTATTTTTCACACTAAGAAATAGTGTGATATGATGCTCCACCGCCAACGCGCTTCACGCTTGTACAATTCCCGCCTCTAGCAAACACATCCAAGCACAAGTGTACACGAGGTTCGCGCTCAGTCGTCGCGGTACTGCTACGAGCTGGTCGAGCGAACCCTGCTAGCGGTCGTATACTATTTCGAATCACTTTATTTAGTGTATATTGCATCGACTAAGTGCGAGTGAAAATCGAATTATGTGCGTATTTCGGATACAATTGGCGAGGAAGAGCCATGGCGATGGACTT